GGTGAGTGTCCTTGGGGGCCGCCCAGAGGATGGGGGCGTGGGTCCCCTCAGGCGAGCGTCTGAGTGTCCTTGAGGGGGGTGTGGTGTGACCCTTTAGGATTGGGGTGTCCCCCGGGCTTGCTGTCTGAACTGGCGGGGGAGGGGAAGGAGTACAGGAGGCCTGTGGAGGACCGGAGCTTCCCAGCCTCCCTCCCCAGCGATGTCCTGAGCAAGGGTTGATCCTTAGGGAGGCCTGTGCGGGCCATAGGTGGATTTGTGCGTGGGGACAGGCCGGGTGGGTGTGTTGGGTGACATGGAGGAAAGGGCGGGTGTGTAAAGCTGGGTGGGAGAGTATGAGGGGTAGGATAGGTGTGTGTGTGTCTGTGTGTCTGTGTAGACCGTGTAAGGCCTGGATGTGTGACATTAGAGACTGTAGATATGACAGGATGCAGGGTGTGTGTGTGTGTGTGTGTGTGTGTGTAAGAAACAAGGGTACACGAGAGGAATGGGCTCCATGTTTCAGGCCCTCAAAGGGGTACGTGTGACAAGAGAAGGTGTGTATGCTTGTCGCCCCAGAGGAGGCTGTGGCACAGTGTGACACATGAGTGAGAGGGTGTGTGTGACAGGCAAGGGGGTGTGTGGGGGATGCCGAATGGGCTGGCCCGGGCGTGAGCCTTGAGGAGAAGCTGAGTGGATCAAGGGAAGCGGCTTCCGTGTGTGTGACACAGGTGTGGACGGGGTGGGGTGAGACTGGGAGAAGCTGGTGAGGGGATGTGACAAGGAAAGAGTGTGGGTGTGACTCCAGAGGGGCCATGGCTGGGTGTGACACATGGAGGTGTGCAACAGTGACATCAGAGGGGGTGTGTGCAACAGGGAAAGTGGGTGTATGGACACGAGAGAGGCTGGGGCTTGTGGGGGAAATGCACGAGGATGTGTAACAAGAAAAGGGAAGGATAGGTCCCCTGGTGACAGGGCCATGTGCGTATGGCTGGGTGTGAGAGACTGGAGATGTGGGGACAAGTCTGTGGAGTGTGACAAGGGAAAGTGTGAGTGTGTGAAGTACCAAGGTGGTGTTTGTGTAAGGCAAGAAGCACCCTCCCTGTGTGTTACCCCGGGAAGTACCTACCACAGTGGGGATGTGGGGTGTATGCCTCGCTGGTGGGAGACACAGGGAAGGAGCAGGGCTCCCGGGGTTCCTCAGAGCCCAGCTCCCCAGCTCCCTGAAAGGAGGGAGACCCCCAGAGCAGATAAGCCCCGCCCTGTGGTCACCTTGGTCAAAATCTCAGCTTCCTCTGGCCTTTCCTCCGGATGGGAGAGGATGGCCTCGGACAGAGTCACCCTTCCCTCTCTGCCTGGCTCCGGGCGGTGACTGGAGTGAGGGCCTTCCGTCCCCACCCCATGAATACAAGCCATGTCCCTTCCATCCCAGGCCTCCTCACCTCCAGCCAGGTGGGACAGGAATCAAGGACCGCCCTGGATGCCTATGGCGGGATTGAGCAGAAATTGGAGGAAAGGGAAGTTGGGGGAGGGGTAGGAGGGAGTTTCCTGTCCTTCTTCCTGCACCCCCACCCCCAGCACACACATGAATATGTCCCCGCCACTTCCTTCCCTTCTTTCTGCCCCACTGCCATTCCCAGTCCTGGACAGGATCATGACCCAGACCCAGGAGGTTCCCAAACCCTGCCTAGCTGTCCAGCTCTCCTTTTTGAGGGAGGGAATCCCACCTTTGTTTTAAAGGGGCTGAGAGTGTCCAAATCCCATGCTCAGCGGCACAGCGTAACAATGATGCTACTGCTGTTGCTAATGACTGTCACCTCCACCTACTTGGCTCCTACTATGAGGCAGGCTCTGAGACAGGCAGGAATTGCTCAATATAACACTGGGGGAGATGATTGGAGCTGTATTTTTAAATTGAGGAAAACTGAGGCTTGGCACAGTGAAACCGTGTATGGAAAGTCACACTCCTAAGTGATGGGGCTGGGATTTAGCTGATCCTGGGCTGCCTGGTTCCAGGCATGTGTGCCTCACCCTGAGCTACCCTGCCCCCTTCACCAGCAGCAAAACTGGGGCAACCCTTTAGGGACCATCTCCTGCGGAGTTGCTCCCACTTCCTCTCCAGAGTACCCTGGGGGAAATTGAGGCCAGAAGATGCAGAGGGACAGTCGTCTGTTGATAGAAATACTGAGGGGCAGGTTAAAGGAAGGGTCCAGAAGTTTGATCTCAGAATTGAAGGCTCCTTTCAGTAACGGACCTTCATGGCTGTGGGATATTGGGCCAACCCCTCCCCTTTTCCATGTCCTCTACCAAATGGGAACATAACAATAACCACAATAATGTATTAACAGCGACCACCATTAATGTCTAATGGCTTACACGCAATGTCATACAGTCCTCCCAATGCTCTGTGATGCAATAATAATAATAATAAATTATGGCAATGGCTGACCTTTGTGGCGCTAAAACGTGCCAGGAAGTATTATGGAAAGTGCTTGACATGGATCATTTCATTTTTACAGTTTTATGATCTATCCTACCAGTGAAAAATTGAGGCACAGAGAGGTTAGCCAGCCAATAAGAGGCAGGGCCGTGACTTGAGCTCGAGGTTGGTTCCTCTGTGTGGACAGACATTACAGTTACCCTGTGTTTAGGAGAGAAAAGTGGGCCACAGAGGACTGAGCGGCTTTGCTAGGCTGTCACAAGTAGTGGCAGACTAGGTGGACCTGTCTCTTTCCCTCAGTGCCAGCCCGTCCCACGTACTTGGTCCTGGGGCCAACGGGGGGCATGGAGGAGACTGTGGCTTCTAGGTTCTAGGCACTGAGGCCTTACAGGAGGACCCAGGTGAAGAGGGTGGGTGGAATCCCCAGTCAGGGAGTCATCAGAGAAACAAAAGACTCCCCTCTGGTGGGACAGTGATAAAGAGTGTCCCCCTAGAGATCATAACAATTTAGCTGCAGCTCTAGTGACCCCCGTGATCCTGGCTTTAGAGAAAGCAAAGAAAAAAATCCTGAAATGCACCCCAAACAGCTTATGGCAGCCAGGTCCTGCTACAGCCCTTTATCACAAAGGCAATATCACCAGGTCAAGAGCCTGAGCCGGAGACCTTTCAAGGTTCCTATCTTATCACTGTCATGTGCTTGGCATGGGACCCTCAAGCAAGTTATTTCACTGCTTTGGGCCTCAGTCTCCCTATCAGGGAAACGGGCACAGTTTACTTTTCCAAGTGGTTGCATGAGCTAAATGAGATTGCGTATATAAAGTGCATGTATAAGTCTGGGGAGATGGCAAATATTCCATAAAGAATAGCCATCAAGGCGGTGGATTTGGCTCAGTGGTGCCGAGCCGGCCTGGCAATTGCAGGGTACCAAGTTCGATACCAAGTATTGCAAAAAAATCAAAAGAATAGCTATCATTCTGATTCTTGTCATATTGTCATATTCTCCTGTCACCCTCCATTGGAGAATCACCCCAAGAAAACCTCACTCTCTACCTTCTCTGCCAAACGCTGCAACGACTTTCAGCATTGCACCCTTACAGAGGCACCGTCCAGGTGCGCTGCATTTCTCGCCAACAGGTTCATGGAAAGACGTCACAGGCCGACATCCCACCCTTCCAAGTAGCACCGCTCCCACACCACACCCTCTCCGTCTCTTGTCTTCCACCAGTGACATCCCCACACACTTCCAATGACAACACCAATCTTGCACCCCAGCCTCCCCTCACCTCTGTGGAACAGTCCCCAGCCCCTAGTCAGCACCCCAACTTCAGTGCCCTCAGGCGTGCTGTCACTGCAG